TCTGGAACAAAGCCCTTTTCCTCCTTACTTTATACTTTATTTCCCTAGTAAACTACCTATGTTGCAATTTCCTAGATTTATTCTTGCTCGAAACAGGTATGAAGTCCTCTTGCACTTGCAATAATGTGCACGTCGGACCCAAGGTTTAAAACTGCTGTGAGAATAGTTTTACAAATTCATGCCGTGCTGCCTGTGTGACAGTCATTCTCACCAATCACAAGCGCCGTGCTTCTCGCGTGCCAGTCATGCTCACCAATCAGAAGTGTCCCAAGAAGGCGTATAGGCCCAAAAACAGCAAACACGTGAAACCCAAGGAAAGTGTTACATTCGCCGTGCGGAAAAATACTGATTACGCTACTGAGCTATAAGTGAATTGCCTACCTATTTCATGGTCCGAGATTGTTTCAGAAAGGTCCTATCATCAATAGAACCTGCAAGCTCCTTTTAAACACCAGCTGCAATATACTTCAGCGTATCATACCTTTGGTTTTTGTTAATAGGCAATAGCATTAGTAAACCACTAACCCATCAAAACAACAATGAGACAGTCAGCAATTCTCACAGCAGCGGAGTCGGTGACCTCCAAAAAAGCCGTAAAACCCACAATACAGTCGTGTTTATGTCATATGTTTTTGTGGTTATTAAATTTAAGTGTTTCCAAAGATTAATCAAACAACAGTAATAAAAGTCTTGCTTTAACATAAATACTAAAAGAATAGATCACTTTAATCGCTATTACAGTTGGGTACTGTATGGGCACGTGGTCTGATTTAGAAAACATACAAAAAGAGACGCGTATAATGTTTAATCATTCGTTTTGTATTTCTCCGAGTAACAAAGCAAAGGAATGATAAGCTGCTTCAGTCGAAAACTGCATTTTACTTCTCATTTCAAATAAAATGCAGGGTTGGCAACTTTGGTCAGCTGCATGGAGTGAGATTTTCTGTTCTCTGTTCTGCACACACATTTACATGTATGTAAGTTTTATTAGCTTGTAAGTAGTCTGTAGGGTTTGCAAACTGCCGTAACGTTTTTGATGCAGCTAATTTTAAGTTCAAAATGGAATATAGATTTGCCGTAAGATTTCCTTCGTTGAGAACCTGAAAGAGTTTGCTACCATGAACATGTACATTTTAAATTTTTCACCTGAATTTATTTGTATAGAAAATAACCGTATACAGCTGTTAAAAAGCAGAAACTTTGACCAACATGAAATCACCAATAAACGACTTCTATTTATTCAACATTTTATAAAATACATACTTCGTTTAAAAATTTCCAGCTTTATGGTTTCAGGACAGAACAGCCACTCTGTTATGAACATTATGGTTTTTTGAGTGTTATTAGTGTACATTAATAACAGCAGCTAACAACACAATTGTGCAAACAAAAGGGCTGCATACACTGAAGTAGTTCTTGCTTGTTCATTGGCGTGGGAAAAAGTGGTTCTAGTGTTATTAGGAGGGTAATAAGCGTTACCTGCAAGATCGCTAGTTTTCTTTTTGCTGCAATTGTTTTCATTATTACTTTATTTAACTTGACACATCACATCTTTAAATTCTCATCCTTGCATTAGAATATAGACCAGTTAATACTGATGGTATCTCATGCTGCGTCATATGTTTTAAAATTACTACACACTGAGTATTGAACTGAAGCTTGACATAAATTAAATTGCAAATCAAATCGTAATCGCAATTTCGGTCAGAAAAATCGCGATTCGATATTTTCCCCAAATCGTACAGCCCTAGTCGTGGCCAGCAACTGACCTAATCCAGAGCAATTCCGTACCTTCAGGAACCTGGTGAACTCCAGTGTCTGTCTGCCAGTAAGCCTGTTCCAAACTCTAGTCTTTGATCATGCGAGTGCCAGAACTGGACAACAAAAAGCAGCTAATAAGAGTAGGTTGCAGATTGTGTCGTTGCCCCGATGTAGAATCAGAGGACATACAGTACTGTGCAAATGTCTTAGACAGTCCAAAGAAATATTTAAAGCTGTTTATCTGGGTAGCAAGTGTACTTTGGCTTAGAACAAAAAACACAATTTAACATTAAGAGTAACACAATAAAAACTAGTAATAATTTCTTCTGTTTTCTAAAAAGTTACTGATATCTAGTTGGGTGGCTAGATGAACACCGCTTCAGTTCCCAAACTTCTCCTCAGGGGCACCTCAGCCGATCCATGATTTTGTTAAATTTCACCAACAGCTCAATTAAATAATTAAATACATTGGTTTAAAAAGTCAGTGACAGATTGACTAGCTGCATGAGGTGTGCTAGTGGCCAAGTCAAAAAATACATAGCTGCACTGGACGGTCGCTGCAAATACTGGGGTGATTTTAGCAGAGGTTCTGAAATGGCTACGCTGACACACTTTGACAGGCATAATATCATAGTTTTACACCAACACAAGGATAATCTAAACATCATTTTCTTTGCCTGCCTAAGACAGTACTGTACATCCAATCATCTTGGATTCAAGTCATCCTACTACAAAGCTTCTCTGATAGTGATCTGAAGTACCCAGGTTCCAAACGTCTTTTTGCCAAGCTAAGGAGAAAATACTGGATCCTGTGTCGAAGAGAGGCTGTGAGGCGAGAACAGCATTCCTGCATAGAGTGCCAGAGGTGGATGGCCCAACCAGTCACCCCCCCCCCCAAATGGCGGACCTCCCCCAGCTCGCCTCAGGTTGCACCAGCCAGCCTTCTACTCAACAGGGATGGACTGCTTTGGCCCATTTCAGGTCTGGATAGGCAGTCGGCATGTTCCAGTTCATTGCCCGCCAAGTTGCTCTCTGACCAGGGCACGAACTTCAAGGGTGGAGAGAAGGAGCTCCTGGAAGCCTTTAGGGCCCTTCAGCCCGACCTGCAGACACAGCTAGCTGAGTCCCAGATTTGTTTCAATTATAATCCACCTAGCGCCTCACATTTCGGTGGTGCATGGGAGCGAGAGATTCAATGCATCAAGAATGCCCTACAAGCCACCTTGGGTTCTCAGGTTGTCACCAGCGAGATGCTCTCTACCATTCTAATTGAGATAGAGGGCATATTTAATTCAAAACCCTTGGGTTATGTGTCCTCTGATGCATCAGACCCAGACCCAGTCACCCCAAACTTATTGCTGATGGGGCAGCTAGACCCATCATTGCCCAAAGTACTTTATCATGATTCAGGATTGTTGAGTCATCGGCATTGGAGAGCTGCACAAGTCTTAGCTGATCACTTCTGGTCTTGCTTTCTGAGGTACTACTTACTTTCACTGCAGAACTGATCCAAGTAGCAAGTAAACACGGACCCCCTCCAAGCTGGAACAGTTGTCATGATTGTCGATCCACAATTACCGAGAGCTTTATGGCCCATCGGGAAGATAAGCAGACTGTTGCCAGGATCAGATGGAGTCATTTGCACAGCAGAGGTTCAAGTTCAGGATCGCACCTACATAAGACCCGTGAGCCGCCTAGTCCAGTTTCCAGCTTTACCTGAGGACAATTGACCACAAAATGCTTCAAATTTGTGGGACAAATTTAGGGGCGGCTGTATTGTAGTTGTTTAGATAGGAACAAGTTTTCTTAAGTGTTGTTGTGCTGGGACCTTTAAAAAGTGTTACTCTGCCCCCTCTTGGAAGTGAGTCACGGGCATTTTCTCTAGAGTTCGGGTTTCACGCATCAGCTGCTGTTGTTCCTAATTAAGATCATCATCAGGACTTGTGTGCGTCCATAAGATAAAGTACGTTGTAGTTATTGACTCTGAGTGAGGTTTGATGGTGTTTAAAATATTTAAAGTGTGCACACGTTGTTCAGGTTAATGTTTCACAGTAAAGATGTTAGCAGCGAATGCTGCCGGATCGCTTATTAAGTTATGTTGTAACGTTTATGCTGGAGAATCCACATGTAATGTTGCTCATGTGAGGTTGAGATATTACCGAAATGTCTGTCTGTACAACTGTTACGTGCTGAAATACGGCACGGAACGGAGACAGAGGAGCGGGAGTCCAGGAAGTCGGGGAAACAAAGGAGTTTATTGGGGAAACGAGGGCAGTATGGGGGAGACAGTCGGGCACACAGGACAGACGGGCAGTAACGTCAATGATAGGACTGGGGGAAGACGAACAGGGAAGTATTTAATTACACCAGACTACATTGAACGAAACCAGACACAGCCGGTGACATGGGGATTCTGCACGGGGCAGCGAGGGAGGGGGCGTGGCACACGGGGATCAGATGAGCAGGGCATGACAGAACCCCCCCCAAAAGGTGGGCACTCGTAGCATATCTAGTACATGTAATATAGCATCTACAAAAGTGTTGAATGCTTCATTAAGAACTTGGATATAAATTTATAATATTAACAGAACTGAGAAAGTATTTACCTTAAGACATATTTATGTCTTATAACAAAAGTTGATGAAGTTTTCATCTGCATGTCTCTTACAGATCCCTGGTGGGTGACCTCTGACTATGGAAAGCCTCCTACTGTCTGTGTACATTCTCACCTTCCTTATTGGCCTACCTACTAACATCCTATCCCTGTGCACCTTTTGCATTAAAGTTTACAACAAGCCCATGCCCACTGATATCCTGTTACTAAACTTAACTGTGTCAGACTTGCTCTTCCTTTTAGTTTTGCCACTGAAGATGCATGAGGTAGCCTCACATATGAAGTGGTCCCTGCCCTATGCCCTGTGCCCAGTCACTTACTTTGTGTTTTTTTCCACCATCTACACAAGCTCTCTCCTGCTCATGGCTGTCAGTGTGGACCGTTACTTGGGTGTAGCCTTCCCGGTGAGGTACAGACTGTTGAAAAAGCCACTTTATGCTGCAGTTGCCTGCGTAGGGATCTGGGTCATCAGCTCTGCCCACTGTAGCATTGTCTTCATCGTAGAGCACCTTTCTTTGGGGAATGACACCTTGGACACCACCGTCTGTTATGAGAACTTCACAGAGGAGCAGCTGAACATACTGCTCCCTGTACGCCTGGAGTTCTTTGTGGTGATATTCCTGGCTCCACTTCTCATTTGCACATTTTGCTACTTGAGCTGTATCCGCATCCTCTCTGCTCAGTCCCGGATCTGTCACAAAAAGAAGAAGAAAGCCATTGGCATGGCTTTGGGGACTCTCCTGGTTTTCGTGATCTGCTTCCTCCCATATAATTCTTCCCATGTTTTTGGCTACGTGAAAGGGAAGAGCCCACCCTGGAGGGACTACACATTGCTCCTCAGCACCTTTAACACATGCTTAGACCCAATCATATTCTATTTTTCCTCCTCTACTTTTCAGACAATGGTCAAGTATTTTATGCTCAAGATTGTAAGATTGAGAAACCTCATTCTCAGATCAGAAAGGCTGTCAAATGTGACAACCAATACTGAAAACATCCGTCAGGAAAACTGAATTAAAGTGGAAATCAAAAATATTTGCACTTATCTTTTAAAGCTGTATATCTGTATGTCTTTTTTTGCTTTGTCTTTGAAACCTATATATGCAATAGTGAACTTTGTCTCAAATAAATACTCCATAAACAGTATATAAACAGTCTCTCTATGTGGTCCTGTGTTTTGTTTAACTGATGCTAAAAAAAATCACTATGGCTGATCTTGGCTTTCCCCTTATGCTTTTGCACAATTTTGGGCCTTGGACATAGTAATGTGCCCAGGCTCCCTCTGGTGCCTCCCCACCCCCACACAATTCAGAATACTCACCCTTTTTGGAGTCCTTGGAAGGGGTGTTGGAGAGCGCTCCTCCTGGGGACTCTCTTCTGCTGGGGGACTTCAACGCTCACGTGGGCAATGACAGTGAGACCTGGAGGGGCGTGATTGGGAGGAACGCCCCCCCTGATCTGAACTCGAGTGGTGTTTTCTTATTGGACTTCTGTGCTCATCATGGATTGTCCATAATGAACACCATGTTCAAACATAAGGGTGTCCATATGTGCATTTGGCACCAGGACACCATAGGCAGCAGTTCAATGATCGACTTGGTGGTTGTGTCATCGGACTTGTGGCCGCATGTATTGGACAGTTGAGTGAGGAGAGGGGTGGAGCTGTCAACCAATCACCACCAGGTGGTGGGTTGGCTCCGCTGGTGGGGGAGGAAGCTGGTCAGGCCTGGCAGGCCCAAGCGTATAGTGAGGGTCTGCTGGGAACGTCTGGCGGAATCCCCTGTCATAAGGAGCTTCAACTGCTACCTCCGGCAGAACTTCGCCCATGACCCAGGAGAGGCGGGGGACATTAAGTCCGAATGGGCCATGTTCTGCGCCTCCATTGTGGAGCCGGTTGACCAGAGCTGTGGCCGTAAGGTGGTCGGTGCCTGTCGTGGCGGCAATCCCC